AATGGAGAAGACCCACCTGATTTGGTGTCCAGCCCTAAAGGCAACGACGGAAAACCAGTGATACTGGGAAGCAAGAAGACAGCTAATGAATTGCTATCAATTAACTGCTATAAATGTACCCCCCCCCACCCTTGGGGGAAGCTGAAGTCAAAGTTTAAGGGCTAATGATAAATATCATAAAGGGAAGTCAAAGATTAAGGGCTAATGATAAATATCATAAAGCCTTGCCATTTTGAAAAGTACCCCCCCCCTCTTGGGGGAAGCTGAAGTCAAAGATTAACCCCCCCCCTTCTTGGGGGAAGCTGAAGTCAAAGATTTAGTGCTAATGATATATAAAGCCTGACATTTGAAATAAATAAATAAATAAACAAATAAATACTGTTAATATCTCTATTTTGCAGTTATTAGAATAAGTTCTTTTTTATTGTGCGGAATAGTACATAACTCTCATTTCATATCAGATGACTTTTTGTTTTGAAATGGGAAAGTATACATGCCGTCTGATAAGGGATTTCCAAAACGACAGATGAAAAGGAGAATTACAATTGAATTTTAAAAAAATTCTGTGACAATAAACTAGCGGTAGTGAATAAACCAGTTTCCGTTAAAACGTTCCAAATTATTCACCTGGCTACCAAATTCTTTTAAGTGTCAAAGACTGTTATTACAAATCCAAGTGTTGTGTGAATTTCAAAAAATGTATGCTGAAGTGATGCCCAAACAAAACCGGTACGGCCTTCACTTCATTAATGGTGATCGATAAATCGATATTCCTCCGTTATGCTAAATGTTTGGCAGTAGCGTTCTAGTCAGAAGCAAAAGGTAAATACTGATTTCAGAGCGTGAAGTTTTATTTAACCCAGGTAATGTTAAAAGCTCAACTCTATAAATTAATCCAATAAATATCAAATGAAAATTGTTTCATGTTATAGTTAGATACTGGGATGTATTTGATTAAAGCTATCGTTTCCTGTTAAAGTTGCTTTAATGTGGGAGAAGTCGGAAGTCTATTCATGGCAGACCACTGTGTTCTTTATCATGACTAGGCAAACTCTTCACACTGTATTTCTCCACAAGGGCCTTTCCCACAAGGCTATTCTTCTCCAATATTCAGAATAGCCGTAAGTCTACTGTTATCAAGCTTCCTTAAAAGGCGTTGGGAAAAGATCGAAATAACAATAGCATTTATTTGTGCTACACATTTTTTTAAGAATTGATTGACCTTGTATGTTACAATGAGTTAAAGCATTTATCTAATTCATTTATTGTTTTTTTTGAAACAGGAATGCACATTAGCCTGCACCAGAAATTTACACTTTTACGGATAATTATATGGAACAAATGTCGTCAAGAGTTAGTATATTGATATGAATAGTCCCGAAATAGTTTTTAGAGAGCTTTCCTGCAATATTTACCAAAAAGCTTATTATTGCAATTAGTTTTATAACGGACTAGAAACACATCTAAACACTGACAGAATATTTAAATCTATCATGAAAAAGGCATTACCCATGCTTTACCGGAAATATACCTTTAGAGTTAGTAACTGTATGAAATTCGTTGGTTAAATTTTGAGCGTATAGCACTCGTGTTGCAACTTCAAAAAGCAGTATTAACTTTGAGCACTTTTGACAATGGTTGGCATAAACAAATAAGCTAGATCCATTGGCAGGCTAAACAATAGGTTACCTAACGATTGTTTGTCACAAGTGGGATGAGTTTGCACCCACTTTTTCCAAGTGGGCTGAATAGTTTGAAAAAATGCTGGTTCTTAAATTTAATCTACCTAGCCATTCCTTTTTGTCACTTATGAACAATTAGTATTAGACTGTCATAGCGAAGATGAAATGCTACAAGGCAGTAACCGGCAAAACTATTTTTAATATTTTAATTATGAACTGGTTTTACCTTACCTGTTGGTAGTAAGGACAAGGCAGAACGCGAAGATATTGCGCAAGTTTGTTAGCCCTCTGTGCTTTCGCATCTTGCGTTTCTTCCACACTACTTCGGTCAGGTTTTGAGTTGACCATACTAAATACAAAACAATTGTTTTTAATTTCAGTTGTGGAAAAACACTCATTGAGGTATTTACTTTGGCTTAATTGACAGAGAAAGAGAGTGAAAGCACCTTAAGTTCTTCAACTTATGCAACTAAAACTAGTTAGACAAATTCGCTTTCATAAGCCAAAATAACTGAAATTTTTCATTATCGATATTGGCTCACTTCAGGTATAGCCGAAAATAAAATATTGTTTTTTCGAAAATGTGGGAAGAGATACATATGCTTAGAGTGCTATAATATATGGGTCATGCCTTCTTATTAAGAAGGTACCAAACTACATCAAAACTTATAAGCGCTCTTAGAAGTCGATCCATCCGTAGACACTTCCAACTAAGTTCTAGCAGAGATCTCAAGTATATTATCGCTCCAACATTACTAAGGCATCGTGCAAAGTAGAGTGCAAACAGAAAGTATAGTGTGTAGGAAGTTTATTACAAACACAGGAAAATGCTAAAAGGCCTAGTTATCAAAAGCACTAATCCACCGCACGAATATTGTTTACTGATTGGTTTGGAGACTTCTACACGCAGCGAACTTGATCGCCATACAGTCAGTAGAACGACCGCGTTATCCAGGTGTTCTAGTGCACGTGTGATTCCTAGCATCAGCGTTGTACGCTACGTACAACCAAGGTAAGCTTCAGAATGTGGGATTGCTTAGATTATTTACGTTTTTTACTTGTTGGCCCAATACATCTAATTTTATCACCATTTAATATTTGATAATATCCAGATTCTGGCAAGCATCACCACAAATCTGTTTATGGAAATGAAAGATAGAGCCAAACTTAATAAAGAAAATAAATGAGAAAAATGCAACAATTATGATTAGAAAATAGCGCATCTTCATCTATAAATGAGCTATAGCATTTTAGATGTAAATTCATCAAGTAACTTGAAGACGAAAGTGTGATAATGTCACACATACAAAGGCACAAATATACACATAAACACACATGCACATATGTATCAAAAATAATATTTAAGTTTCTATCTTTTGCCTATGAAACGGGACAATTTTTTACAAAGCCAACGGTTATCAGAATGTTCCCATTATCGTATGTTGTCAAGGGGAAAAACGCATTAAAGGAGATTAAATTCGAACATATTTCGTGTGTAACTAAAAAATTCGGTTCATAATCTTCTGAGCAGTTCAGTTTTCATCATCGGTTGATATCATCATAATAACAATAAATTGAACTTCGCAAAGGCTACTATTTTGGTTATCTCAAAGAAACGCCTTGTCATATATGAATCTGCTTTATTCACTCACCTGCTGCTGTAAAGCGTGAAACTATTAAATTTATCGATCAATCCATTAGTTTCCCAAGTAAAATTTGTCGATGTAATACAATCAAAAAGTAAATTATCTAGTTAGCACGACTCTTGTGTACTTAAAGCTTGTTTAATTTGAAAGCATTTTATCAAAATATTAAACTTTATTCCTATTCTCTATTTCAATTCCATTCTTTTTTCTCTACAATTGTGATGCTGTATTCAAGCCCTATAAAAGCATGCAATAAATTCCATTTGCAAGCGTGATGCACTGAGCCAAATATCGAAAACGCGTTTGTCGAGTGTGCCGTTAAATGAACTTTTGTCATGGTCAAACACGTATATATGACACGTTTTGTTACACTTCTGAGTTAAATTAAGCTTAACGACTTGAAGATACTAAATTATTCACTTTGTTTAAACCATTAGAGCTAACTTAGTAAACAGTCTTTTTGATAAGGCAAATACACAAAGAAGAAATAATTACCCAATAATCATATATACCTAAACTAGCAGCAATAAATAATATTTCCTTAAATTTTTGAAGAGACCTATAGGGAATATGTTTTCGACTTTGAGGGTGTTATTCACGTAGGTCTAATGTTTCAAACAATATCTCTTCAAGAGACGTATTGGAAAAGCTGCAGCAGCCATTCATCTGACCCATTCAACCCATGCTTTTTCCTCTCACTTTTAACTACATACTTGCTTTTCCAAACACTTTCATTTTTGGCTTTTAAACCACTTCACTATAGAACGGTAGTCAAGTTTTGCATGGCAGTTAATGCAGGTTTTTGTATTTCTGTAATGGCCCACACTACCTTTAAGCACAAATGCCTAATTTCTGCAATTTATGGCGCAGCAATTATTTTTACGTTCTTATGCATCTCCACGTGTAGAGATACTCATAAGAAGCTACTTACTTTCAGCCTATATTATAAATCTGTGGCAGGCAATTTCTAACGAAGGTCAGAGTTGGTTTTCGTAGTATAGACTGTCCGGTTAAAATTCCCCCTTTTACCCAACTTTGTGAAATGCAATACCAAAATCTAGTAATAATACATTTAGTATTGAATATTCACGAATAATTATCGTTACCTACTTACTCAAAAAACCTTGCTATTTTGATCCAGTTGTAGCATTCTATCGAAGTTACGACGCATACGCTTTCCTGATCGTGGGACGATGAAGGCAAAACTGTCAAGTCGTAACAGCAGTGATCTTAATGAACACTTGATGTTAAGACCATTTATTTGGAAAAATCACTAATCTTGTGAGGAGAAATTCAGTCTACTTCGGTCAATCTCATGAAGTAATTGTCTGACGAGATTAGTGAAACTTCACAACCACGGACAACAAACAGGGCAAAATTTTCCCCAGAAAAATAGGCAATAGTATTGAGACATATCATTAGCAATTACAATTCAAAAACAAGAAAAGTGTGCAGACAATATACACGGTGGGCGTATGTTAGCCTTTAAGATGACTCAACAGTGGAAGAGCTCATGCCTCGGTGTTTATCGATTTCCGTTAACAGAGCAGCAGCAGCCTCTGGCGTTTTCACTCGAATTAGCATGGGGACCAGAGAATTATCACCGTCATCCCCTTTCACGGCACCAACTGGCAACGGTGGTGATGGAACACAAGCAAACACAACGTTGTTCTTCTGTAAGTGCATTGGGATGTCCTTGTTTATCATAATGTTCAAGAGAATGTTTCCTATAATAAAAAGGACCGAAAATGATCGCTTAAACGGTTATATAGCATTCAAACAAGCCACTGAAAAGCACGCTTAGTTTGCCAACATAATTACTGCCCTGATAAAAATCTTATGTTATAATCTTCTGATACTCATTCTTACCAATGATCCGAATGACAACGAGGATAGATGTCATTACAGATAGAAGACAAAGCATACAGTGTACAAAGTCGAGTTGCGCAGATCAGATAGATAAAAGGCAACAATTCGCAGATAGATAGGCTATTCTAAAGGGAAGACATCCTGTTTTGTTAAATGAAACACTTTTAATCGATAAACTAATCTCCACTTGATAATATTAAAGAGTACAGTTTTCAATTATTGGAAGAATACCAAAAGGACTAGACCTTAACATCTAAGGCGTGAACATTATCGATAAAAATGGTAAGGAAAGCGAATAGATAGACGTTCGTTATCTTCATTAACAACAGTTGACTTTTAAGTAAAAAACAAGCTACTCCGTAATAAATCAAAATTTCAGCACCCATAACAATAGAATATAAGGAGTTTTATCAGACAATTAACTTAAAACATTTTTAAAAGATCATACCATATTTACGCCAGGTTTAACGGAATTGCCAAGTGCTGAATTTTAATCATAACTGAGATTTTAAGAACTCCTTAAATATAAATAAAACTCACCTAAATTGGTATCAGCGCGAACAAGAAGTTGAAATTTTTCATTTCCCGAGGGGATAATATGAAGATTTCCTAATCCTCTCTCAGTCCACTGGTCGGCCTTTTTATAGAAGAGTTTGCATCTGCACAAAACGATTTCAACGTGAATATTTAGTAAATACACATATGTAATAAAAAAATCAACTACCTAACTGTATATACCGAACCCTCTTCCTTAATCTCCTTGACTTCTGGTTTTGGAGGGACGTATTCTTCCTCCTCATTTGCTATCTGTTCTGTAGTAGAAGTAGATGCAGATCCGAATGCAAACGGCGCAGAAGTTAAATTTCCACTAGACGATTTAGTTAAGTCGGATTTGAAGGAAAATAACGGGGGATTAGCCGAGGGAAAAGACGAGGTATTTGAAAAAGTTGATGCAGGTGGCACACCAAATGAAAAAATTGGAGGTTTAGCCGACGCAGATGAATCCGAGGATGTCGTTGCTTGTTTGAAGTTGAAGCTAAATCCATTTGACGCTAAAGACGTTGAAGAGTTAGATGTTGTGTGAGGAAAAGGATTATTTTGCACGGACGTTTTTGCAATCGTAGCCGTAGATGGAACATCTGATATTTCAGTCTCTTCGTCAGTTTTTTCGCATCTAATTGAGGCAAGATGTTTCTCATAATCACTGAATACAGGCGTTAAAATACAATGAGGATCTTCGGTGACATGTTTCGATATCCATGAAGAAACCTCTTTGTTTAGAATGGCCAATTTTGACAAGAAGGTAGGCCCGGTGAGCTCTTCCTTTTGGACAGAACTAGTGGACACCGACATGGAGTTTGTCTGTGGAGTGGCGAAAACATCTAGGCTTTTAAAAATTCCACGTTTGGATTGTGTCGATGACTGTAACTTTTTGCTAACAAATATCATTTTTCGCTTTTTTAAAGTTTCTTCGTCAGCTTGTTCGAAGTCCGATTGAGCTGTTGGCTCATCAGGAGCATCCCAGTTGTCATAATCTAGCGGTTTGTCAGCACCCCGCTTTGCCATGAGGACGGAATAACTGCAAAGGCCTGTAGTGACAGAAATTGAAATTCTGGCTAAAGCAACCCTTCGTTTTATGGACCAATTAAATTGAAGTTTTATTAATATTCACAATTACCACAAATTATAAAACATGAACATTGCTATTAATTTATTAAATTGTTGGTAGTTAGTTCAGACAGTCAAGTTTATTGCATTCGATTTAATTTTCAGGGCATCAGTAATTACTTGAAAGCATTCTAGAAGAATAGGCATGCGTTTTGATATATATTTAAAAAATGTGACATTGTGTAACCATTGGTAAACAACCGATTATTTCATCTCAATTTTATTAAATATGCCGTCGTAACCTTTGTGAATTAACCAGAGTTTTTAAGTTGACCAACTCTATGATTTTTTTGGGAATTCAAAATTTATAAATCTTGTAAAAATATAAATCAATTATATGTATATCTTGTGCCATGTATACTAGTTCATAAACATTTCCTTCTCTTTTGGATAGTCAATTTTTACATTTAAGTACTCGCAATTTCATATACTAATTATATTAATTAGTTTGCTCTTTAAGATTAGAGTGTGTCCCTGATTTGAAATCATCGTATTGATTATGTTTTATGTGATTGCTTAGGTATTTATTTTTTATTTCAGCACCTTCTCTCTGACCGTCCAGGAAATTTTACATCTACACTAATTCTTCAGAAGCTTCGTAATTTGTGACATTAAACAAAAAATCGATTTAGGGGACTTTTTTAAAATATAAGCACTCAAAATGACTTTAAAAATTCAATATAATGGGTCCATTTATTTTTAGCATAACTACCTGGAATTATTTGTGAACCGGGCGAAACTCAAATACGGCTCGAAAGCCTATGAATGCTGTAATCAAGATCTTGTTATGGTGGATGAGGATTGTTTGGCATCTACTCTCTATGGAGGTTATATATCAGGTATTAATTGTAATTTAAATTATCGCCCAACAGAGATTTCTGTGGATTAATCATTCATAGTCCTATTAAACCGCTCACTCGAACATTCTGGAGGGTGCTGTGGTGCATGCTTAGGGCTTCGCATTCATTTGGATATTAATGTTGATTAAAATTATGTTAGATGTAATCGATTACTAACCATATTTTCTGAGATCATAAGGAGGATAAACAACTTACTCATGATAAGACTTCTTCGTCTATATCAATGCTATGATTTTAATTCAGAAGCCTATTTTCACTAGGTTACTTTTTCATAGAGACCACTGTTGATAAATCATACTTAATTGTGCAACAATGCGCTTCATGTCGAAACATGCATTCATTAAGTAAAATGTGCATCAAATTTCCTCAAATATCTTGCGAAAATATTTTATTTTGATTTATTTTTGCAAGATTTTACAAACAGAAGACCAAATTTTGAGTGCGAACAAGGTATTTTCCTAAATACTGGCACAAATCAGACTCTTTCTTTGTTACTTAAAATCACCGAGCCAAAGTGAAAACGAATAAATGAATGTTTTATTATCTAATACCAATTTTAAGCAATTTAACATGATATTCTTTCTTGCTTATTCAATTCTGCCCCTTAGGCTTATGTTTTTCCTGTAACTTGTTACGTATGAAAGGCCCTTACTCTAAAAGCTGTCATTTAAGTAAATTGGAAGTTAAAGTACCATAATTGTTAAAATTCTACTGCTCAGTAGTGTTTGTGGTAAAACCTACAATTTTGATAATATAATCAGTGAGTGAACAGCGTTTATCAACATACTTAAAATGGAACCGTTTTATAATTTTTAGTGATCCTAAAACAAGATAAGATGAGCAAGACTATCAAACACTACGATCCTAACATTTTTATACACATTTCCTTCAATAAATAAACATACTCTCACAATAGCTTGTTCGCGTGAGTGGCACACTGGAAATTAAATGAAACCCATCATGACAGAAACTTTGTTTAAAGCCGTAACGCTTTCTATTGCAACAAAACAGCCTGGTAATGTCGTACCGTGATCGTTCACCAATTCGAAGGTAATTATTCCATTTTCTTCATCGGTCGTTTTTCTAGAAGGAATGGTCCGCCTAAAAGACGCGAACGTGAATCCAGTTTGGAAGACTTAAAGCCCCCTCGGTGGGATTTGGCTGACCTTCCGAAGATTCGCAAAGTATTCTACGTTGAACACCCCTCCGTGGCTTGTCGTTCACAAGCAGAAATTGATGACTTTCGAATCAAGAATCGCATGACTTTGAGTGGTCATGAAGTTCCAAGGCCTGTGTTTTTTTTCAGTGAAATCAACCTGCCACAATACATGATTGATGCTTTCATGAGAGCTGGTTGGAAAACTCCAACACCTATTCAATCGCAAGGTTTACCGATGGTGCTTAGTGGCAAAAACGTAGTTGGCATTGCGCAAACAGGTTCTGGAAAAACGGCGTGCTATCTTATCCCAGCTCTGCCTCATATTGAAGCACAGCCTCGGCTATTACGAGGTGAAGGCCCAATTTGCTTGATTTTAGTTCCCACCAGAGAACTAGCGCAGCAAGTCATTCAGGTTGCTGAAATGCTTTGTTCTGCTGCGAGATTAAGAACTGTTTGCCTTTATGGAGGCGCACCCAAAGGTCCACAGGCTCGGGATCTTCAAAGAGGTGCTGAGGTTTGTGTAGCCACACCGGGGCGTTTAATCGATTTTCTCAAAACTAAAACGTAGGTTTTTGTATATGTATAACTTTTTTGTATAGAACCAATTTGAGGAGATGCACGTATTTGGTATTAGATGAAGCAGATAGGATGCTTGATATGGGTTTTGAACCTCAGATTCGCAAGATTGTAGAACAGACTCGTCCAGATCGTCAAACGGTCATGTGGTCTGCAACATGGCCTAAAGAAGTTCAATCGCTTGCGAGATGCTTTTTGAAAGACTATATCCAAGTAAATATCGGATCAACTTCACTTCATGCTAATCCAAATATAACTCAAATCGTCGAGGTTGTTGAGGAATACGACAAAGAACAAAAACTCATTAATCTCATAAGATCATTCAATGGTCTTCGATCTTTGGTTTTCGTTGAGACAAAAAAGAAATCTGATCAATTGGCTTATTTCTTAAAACGACACGGTATCCGCGCGGCTGCAATGCATGGTGATAAAATACAAAGTCAGCGAGATGCTACTCTTAATGACTTCAAACGCAGTCATATATCAGTTCTAGTTGCTACTGACGTCGCATCGCGTGGCTTAGGTATTTATCATAATATTTTACTTTAATGGGATTTTTGTTTAAATTTGACTACTCGGCTATTTGTTTTAGACATCGATGACATCGAGTTTGTTATAAATTATGACTTCCCGAATCAAACTGAGGACTACATACACCGGATTGGGCGTACCGCGAGAAGCAACAAGAAAGGAACGGCATACACTTTCTTCACACACAAAAATTCCAAACAGGCTGTAGATCTTGTGAATATTCTTGAAGAGGCGAATCAGCAGGTCAATCCGGACTTACTTCGTATGACCGGTGGCGCTAACCGTTTCCGTGGAGCACGCAATGGTACGTTACATATTGCTGAGTGCTGCTTTGTGTTTTTGTGTGAATTGTGCTCCGGGGATAATTAGTGTTTTGTCATGTTCCATCACAAAAGTCACTTGATGGACCTCGCTTTGTTTAGCTATAATCGTCATTTTTCCTGTCCCGATAATTTGCTAATACATTTCCTACAGATCGAACGAATAGCCGCTATGCTTCAAGAAGTAGCAATTATGGACGTGGGACAAGTAATTATAAAGCCCGTGGTTCTGCCAGTATACATTATACTACAGGGAGCCATAATTCGTATGATGGCATGGATAAGTCGGCTGAGCGTGAGAGCCGCTACACCAAACCTTCCCACTCACATCAACCTAAGGTAGGAGAGAAACGCGATTATTCGCATTCTTCCATTGATGAAATTAGTAATCCCGGCACATATCAACAGTCCTTAAAATATAGCAAAACTGATTGGGATTCAAATGTCTCGAAAACTCCAGCAGATATTACTTATGATGGTTGGCACAGCTCCTCTTATAAGCAGTCTGAATCAAAAACTGCTTCTGCTGGTACCACTGCCCAACCACCAGTGAGAATGACTTGGCCAAACTCATATTCTGGCCCCCCTGGAATTGCTGTAAATTACAACCAGCCACCGCCTCCGCCACCTCAATCATACCAATCCCACCCACCACCACCACTTCCACCACATTGCGAAAAGAAACAATCATCTACCTTGCCGTCTTATATACAACAGCAGGCAGCTCCTGCAGCACTGCCTGCTGGTTATGTGCACTATATGAATCAGGCACCACCTAGTTATCCTCAGGTGCCACCACCAGGCACTTGGGCCCCGAGTGCTTGGCCACCTCCACCCCCCGAAAATCAACAATACCCGAGCTATTAATATATTTCTTGTTTAAATTTTACTAATAAATCTTAACATCGAGGTAATTTTACATCAAATAGCCTACTCTTAGAACTTAGTAATCAGGGAATAAATTTTTAAGCAGCAACCGCGTGTTAAGGTAGTTTCGTTTATTCTTTGTAGGTGTTGCTGCAGTATTCTACTCTAAAATGTGGAGATTGAGACCAGTTTGTGGATGATGAAGAACTTCAAATACCTATCGCGAACGCCTTTCTATATCAGTAGGCGTGTGTGCGTTGGTAGAAAAAAGTGCGATTGTGTTCACAGAGGAAAGCAAGCAAGCCGTTAGTTCTGCGAGTGGATATTCATTCATTCTTCAGAGTGCGGTTTCTTCAGTCCTACGTGAGTCCATTGTGGGCTTTTGTGGGACTTAAAATGCATTTATAGTTAGCATATATGTTTGTTTAGTAACTGGTCTCGATAGTTATAGGTTTAAAATAAGTGTTCTTAGTCTTATTAACATTAATAGCTTATTAAGTACTTTGGATATAGAACTCATAAATGTGTCTATAATATGTATTGAATGTCGAAAATCAAATCAAGTTTTATTTTTAATATTTTTTATAAAAACCCCGTGCCATTGTCAGTATTTTTGGGATTGAGTCCTAATGTCGCAGATAGCGATTCAGCGCTCTCTTCTTTTGTTGCCAATTTCAATTCCTTTTGTGATTTTTGTGACTTCCTATAGCTTTCACGTTGTAGGGGAACATCTGGAAGTAGATCATATTTTCCAAGATTGTTTCTTTCCGCATTGAAGCTGATGGGTTTCAGTCCATTTCCAGTAAACAAGGATGCGGTTTTAGCCCTTTTGTTACTTTGTTTTCGTTTTAGAGAACAATATTTGTAGCAGAAAACTATCCACAAACAATTGGCTATAAGTAGTGCAAAACACATTGTCCCAAAAATGTAGAAGAATGGGATTCTCTCTAATTTTATAATATTTTCTGTGTTTTCGTCAGAGTAAGTTTTTAGGCATTGTGAATAAAGCGTCGAGACTATTGATGAATTTATTCTCCTGCAAACGATAGAGTTGGCTTTGGTTGAGCAACTGCTTATGGCGTTTGTTTCCCCTATTTGTAGCTAGAACGGAGGTTAATTCATGAAATTAACTTACTGGGTTTCCAGGACTATTTTTAATCGTTATGCACAGCCTCTCTCCAATATCATCTCTAGGGGAGTCGGTTGTGGTTTCCAATACATCTTGCAAATAGAATATCGAGTTTGCTTCGAGATTGAGGCTCTTATAGAAATATTGAAGTTCCCTGATATTTGGAATAGTCGATTTGAGGTTGTCACAGAACCTCATTGCATGGGACTTATTCATGACATCTTCTTGGAACCATTCAAAGATTACATTCTCTTCAGTTTCTGCGAGTGTAACATTCTTGAAACCTAATGGTTCGAGGGAGACTATAGCCCTTATGAAAGAGATTAACAGAAACACGACCCATCGCAACCATACCATTGTACGCTATTGATGCCTATGACATTCTTTCTGCATATTAAATTGGTTGGCAAATGCAATTAGCATAATTGCAAGCTCGTACCCAATCATATTTTTCATTTATGATGCCGTCGATTCCACGAACATGAATGCTCGTAATCATTAGTGGCCTTGGTATACTGCTGTAATACAATTTGAATAATCATCACTTATTCATTTATATTTTATCACGTGCTACCGTTTTCCTGCCTGAAGTGTTTTGCAGTATTGGCTTGCTCCTTTCATCCCTTATTGTAACGGAAGTGTAAATGACTCTTACCATGAGCTCTTTTCTACTTTCAACATTGTCTAGGCTATTCAAATCAGTCTCAGCGCTTTGGCCGTGGAAGAAGATTCAATGGCGGTTTACGCGGTCGAATTGAAATTCCTGAGTATTAATATCAAACACTTTGTTTCTCAATAAGATACTCGTTTTTTTTCAAAAAAGGCAAGAATGCTTAAAGCACAAGGTAATTTTAGTAGAGATTCACAAAGAAGTCTGTGAGTTAGTAGGGTTAAGTAATGATAACAATGGAGAGGGTCAGTTGTGGAAGAGGCACTGAAAGCGTTGTTTCCCGAATGAGTTAATTTGAGCAGATGGCAATCGGTGACTAGGATATTGTACACTTCTAAAAAATGTTAGCAACCAGGTTTATCTAAAATGCTTAAAAAATCGAATGATTTTGTGCTCAAAGTGTTAGGTTTGAAGTACTTTCTGTCCAATGTGATAATTTAAGCGTATGATAATCGATTTTCTGGTCTGAGAGGCACGACGGGTACCTACAAAGCAGCCTATCACATCAATAAATCGCGTGACTGGAAGATAGAGCAGTAAATCTAATTAAGTTGGTTGTAAACCTGCAGCGTTATGGAAATTTACAAAGTTGCTAGGTTAAGAAACAGTCCGAAGTGCAAAAACGTGAGTGTTTTATCTTTTCGATCAAGCCAGGTCTTCATAACAGTTTGACATCGACGGTTGGAGTATTTGCCTAATTGCTGCCAACGTATCTAAAAAGCTCACTCCAATGGGCATCGATATGATAAGAAAAGTAATGTGTGATGATCAAGAAATTCTGCCATGGTATTAGACTTTGACCCAGAGAGCAACAACTAGTTAATGTTAAATGATGCAGCCTAAGGGTTATAAGAATAACTAGCAGGGTCCCTCGGGCATTTAGAACGTCATACTGAATGGACCAACGTTTGGATAATCCACTTATTAGCACTCATGATGGTAAGCATCTAATTTGCTTGCTTCATCGCCTATGGTGCATTATTGAGCTTTTGTTTGTTTGCATTCAGTATGCATCATAAGTCGGACATGAAATGAATCGGAGCAAGTAAATGTGTACGAAATATTCTCGGTTCCTTCAGACATTTTAGCTATTCAAGAAAACGATATCCCCCTCTCGCATTTTTTCTCCAATTCAATTCGTTTAAGCTAGAAGGGACAGGCTCGACAAAATTTACCATTTCCATGATGATGGCTCGCTGCGGTTTACCACAAAGCGTACGTTTAGTTTGAATCACAGACCTTTACTCTGATTGCTTTCCGAATGGTTCTAGTCATATTTGCTCTCTTTCAACTAATCTCGCGGTTTTAAAAGTGGTCACGGTGCTTTAAATTATGTATTTGACAAGAACTAAAGGAAACCAACCCATGGGGGCGAAGGATCGCGTTGGCGCCCATTACTTCGGTTATGCCGATGCTCGTCTCTTCTGTTGCCAGAAGGAGAGGAGGGACTGGTAGGACACGAAAGACGGGACATGGGCTGTTGAGACGACTGTTGTAGTTGTGGGCTTCTGGTTGAGCTTGGCTGCTGGGGCTTTTTCTGCTTCTGTTCAGCATAGTAGGCTGCATCCTCCTCCGCTTGAAGCTGTTTTGCCAACTCTAGGTCTGAGGCCTCTTGCTATGAAGCAAAGGAAGATAATGAGATAAAAGGCACTATAAGCCCTTAATTTGGTAGAAATCGACCCAAAGTTTTTGAAAGAGACAAAGGCTTGCTCCCCTGGACCGACCAATCAGATAATTAGGGGAAGAACTTGACCACTAGTTAAATTAGGCGATATGGGCATTGAAGGCTTCCCAAAAATTACTTGAAAATATTAGCCAATATTAGAGTAACTCGTCTCGATAATAACTCCTGTTTGCCTTTGCGTTCAATTAGACCGTTAGAGATTATTGATTGTCCATTTCTACTCGTTGATAATCAAGAATTCACCTGGACAAGTTGAGGACACTCGATTCTTGCGTCCTCCCTTGTCTTTTCTCCATTATGCCGTCTTTAGTTGGTTGACTTTTTGACTTTCTGTCTGTTGTGTTAGTCTAGAGCGAAGGGGTAGAGGGTTGTGGTCGCTTCTTCGGCCTCTATTATCTACATATTTCTTGGCCCTTATTTCCATCTTTCCAACATCGTATAAATTTCGTGGTGTCTGGAATAAATTTGACAATCTTATTAGGACAACAAAAAGGGTTTGGTAACTGCGAAATTTAAAAGAAATTCAATAGCCAGTTTTATTCAAAGTAGAATCGATAACAGATCCAATCCGGCTCTACCCACAAAAAAACGGTTGCAAACTGATTTATCGCTTTCACTGCGAAAGGTATCAAAAACTGCAATAATTCTGTCCATCGTCTGAACTTTTTTTAGTTCATCGGGGAGTTCAAAAACCAAAAATACATTTGAACTGATGGAGTCGTCAAAATTAGCTCACAACCATTTGTGCCACCCATGGTCTACTACTGAATGGCCTCACTATCTAGGTATTAACTGCATGGTGTGTCTTAGTAAAGGTTCACCTGGAATATTTCCATTGCTCAATACAGTTTCTAGTTTCTAGAATAAATATAATGTGGATGCACCGATGCGGTTATATTTCACTCGTAGCGATGCTTTTACTGCCAATAGTTTGTTCAATAACTGATAATCTAATTATGAAAATGACAAGAATAGGCACTAATTTGGCCCAGTTTGTACTTTTATAGAACAATTACAATACAAATGGTGCTGAGTCAAGTTAAAATACTCTGTTTAGACAGTATATCCAGTCCAACATTAGATTGGCCACACAAATGCATTAGAGCTACTACTTATAGACAATTAAAAATGAATTTCATGGAGTTAATCCGTCCAAATCACATTTTCAATGAAGAAACTGCATATTTACAAAGTATATGATGCAAATTAACCAGGTGGATGCTTGTCTGATTTTTTGTTGATAAAGCATTGAAGCACAAGTTCGCATTCGAATAAGTATTAAATTAACAAAAAGGTGTGCTCAATCACGCCACGTTGTCCGAGTCTCGATTTCAAATACCCATGAGGGGATGTGATTTGACCTAAATCACAGATTGACCCCCTCCTATTTCCCATTCTTTCCATTCTACTGAAGAGAAAAGCGACTTATAGCTTAGGAATTCAAAACTGTCATAGTTTCAAGCAGCCGACTCAAATCTCAAAGCATGAAACTCAATCTCATTCCCTCTACCCACCTTAGATAAAATGGAGGCTCCGCAGAGATTTGCTTTATCGGACAAAATTATCAGGCGTGATTGGATATACTGCGCACTATATGCACCTTGACCTCTGAATTAATCGTTGCGGATATATTTAAACAAATAACAACGGCACAGTAATGGTGGCCATCGTTTAAATGCCCTACTCCTCGCAATACAACTTGATTTCCACCAAAAGATATGCTAATGCGAATTAGCATGTATAATCCACAGGGCACTTCTCCTGAAAATGGGTGATAAATATTTAAAGTTGGTGAATGTCTTAAATCATGCTACAGATTTAGGCTGATTTGGATCAATTTCATATTAATTCTCAACGCCAACGGAACAAAAAGGGAACCCAAGAATACAATTACTTTATATTAAAACTTGAACACAGAATGCGAAACAATGGCCTGCCAAAATAATAAGCAACAGCTAACACGCAAATATACACATAAAAATACATTGATGATCATTTTTTATAAATAGACTAGCGCATGAACTAACACCGCAACTTCGATTTCTCGGGGATGAGTGAGAATGCTCGGATGGGAGGTCGTACGGATCACCTAGCCCACCTAAAAGCAAATTGGGAAGTGTTTATTCTTCACCGATTAATTTGGAACTTGCAATACCCGACTCAAAGCCAACGAAGAATGGTCCATTGATTTAAAATGTTAGAAAAGCACAGTTAATAGATCGATGTCACTTTTTGGCCTGCTCAATCGAGTTAGGGGATCTCTGACTTGCATTAAAGACTTCTAGGTAATTGTATTTTAAATTTTAATAAATGTAGCAAAGAAGATGGAAAGTAGAGCTACACTTTACTCCACCAATGTAAATACCTACTAAATGTAGAGGCCACGTTAGACAAATGTAAAGGTATTCCCAAAGACTAATAGGATAAAATGGACTTTTCCAGACAAGGAAACGAAAAAGTTGGGTTGAAAAACGAATCCATTTGACAACAAAGAAGAAATGAGAGAAACGGGACATTGGAATGGGAAAAGCGGGGGATACATATAGGCGCAGTGGGGATGGAAATGAAGCTCTGATAAGGTTTAAACTGACAGATTTTATCAACACAACTACAAATTGTTTCCAAAATGGCGACGTTTGTACAACATTCGTATTCTATAGGTCTAACCACTTATTCGAACATAAGGTGAATTCTAGGCTGATTAACGTGAGTCAATACTCATTCTTCTTCTTCTCCATTAGGTGCCTTATCTATCAAATTTATCGTTACATTGAGCTTCAATAAGTACACAGAGCATTATAGCATGAAACTACATTGCTGATAGCTTAGGCCGCCAAGGGTGTTGCTACCGAAGAAGTGAAAGTATGCTAAAATAAGTTGAGAAGTCAACTGCTATGGGCGATAATACTAACTTGATGAACTCCAGTTTATAGCTGCTTACAGCTATTTGATTGAGAAAAGGGGAAAAGAAACTCACCCAAGAGGAGGGAGGAGATGACGTGG